CAGAAAGGAATGAGGTAAGGTACAGAGGAGGCTGTGGCAGACACATGGGTTGCTTATTCAAATCCATTTTCCTCTTCTTTCTCCTCAAAAGAAACCTAATTTTGTCTGAGATGGCAATGTGTCCAGCTCACTATTAGTTTTCAGAACCTCCTCTGCAACTAGTGCTAGACATTAAAATGTAAATGTCTATTTTACATTTTGCCATCCCTTACCTCTTCTTCCTCCCTTGAGCTTGGAGGTGGTAAGTGAGACTGTAGCAGTCATTTGGCCACCACAAAGGAAAGGGCCAAAAGAATTACAGAGACAATGGTTTAACAACGTCAGGGCTGATGAACCAACTGCACCTGTCCATCTCAGGTCTCCTGATGCAAGGAATATTAATTCCCATTCGTTTAAGCTATTCTTAGTTTAATATTATATTTCTTTGAGCCAAATAGATTCTTAATTTATACAGAGACAAATATGTAACAGTAAATGTTGTGGAGCTGTCAAGGCAGAGACAACTAGAAAGGAACAGTCAGAGAGGTAGGGGAAGAATCCGAGAGGGTGATACTATTGAATCCAAGGAAGGAGAGAGCTAGATGAAGAAGGGAGTGGTTAACTGTGAGAAATGCAGGAGAGATGTCAAGTGAGGTAAGACTGCTTTAGCAATGAAGAGGTCCCTTCATGGGGGACCTCCGGTGATTTTTGACAGAGTGGTGTCCACTCAATGGTGGTGGAGAAAGAGAGGCTGTAGAAGGATGAAGAGTATCTGGGAAGTGAAGGAAGGGGACAGTAATTTAGACCAGGGCTTAGCAAACTACAGACCACTGGACATCTCTGCCCTGCCACCTGTTTTTGTAAATGTTTTACTGGAACCCAGTCACATCCATGCATTTCAGTACTGTCCACAGCTGCTTTCAGTGCTACAAAGGCAGAGATGAGTAGGCGAGACAGAGACTGTATGGCTCACAGAGAGCCTAAAATATTTTTTATCTGGTCCTGTAAAGAAAATATTTACTGACCCCCGATTTAGACCACTTTTCTACATGCTTGGCTGTGCCAAGGAACAAGTGGCCAACTTGCTAAAGGAGACACAAGGTTGAAGGTTTTTGCCTTTTTTTTAATTTTAAAGGCATGGGAAAGACCTTAGAGGGGAGCTGCCGGTGTAGAGGGAGGAAGGGAAGCACTGGAGAGAAAGGGACTTACCTGTGGAGAACACAGAGGAGCTGCTGGGGCAGAGTGAGAGCAAGAGGGGAGGGGCTCACTAGTGACAAGGTGCCCCAGGCTCATGTCTCCCACCAGGGTGCTTACAATAAATTCATAGCAGGGGCATGTGAGGGAAGATCTGCAGGAAGGTTCAGAACCCACTCTGCAGACCATAGAAAAAGTGCAGCTAAGAAGAGAGGGGATGTCTGCCAAATCATTTGGTCTCTGGGGGCCATAGTTTCACCATCAGTAAACTGAATTTTTATCTGGGGATTGGAAAGTCTAACCAATCAAGAATTGTACAGCACTCTGCAACTATGAAATGTCGCTGCAATGCTTAATAATAACAGAACTCTCCTGACACCAGGATGCTGTGAGAAGTAAGAGGCAGATGTTTTCATGGTGCCTGAAAAATGAAAAGCTCTGTATAGACATTATGTCTTACTAACTACCAGCATCACAAAAGGCAGGTAGCAGGCACGGTGAACACAAATCATACAACTGCACCAAACCAGGCAAGCTGAAACTGCTTTTTAAAGAACAAAAAAGGGTGGAATACATTAAAATAGGAAGAGGTTGTTCACTTTTTCCTCTAATCATAGGAGACTACAGCAGGTATGTGGTCATTTAAGTTTTAGTTTCAACCTTTTCTTCCTGCATTTGCGACAAAGAATCACAAAATATTAGAACTGGATAAGTCCTTCAATAACACTGATTTCAAACCACCTATTTTATAGATGCCAAACATTAGACCCATAGAAGCTACATTATTTAGCCAAGGGCCTAGAGCTGGCATAAGACTCCTATTCCAAGCTGTTTTCCTCGCATCAGTGCCTCCATAGCCTGACTAGTATATCTTATCTCAATGGGCTTCCCAGAGGGTGGTATTTGCCCAAAGGGGCAGGGTAGAGGCAGCAGGCCTCTTCTTAGAGGGATAAATATTATCTGGCTATATTTATGCAGCTGTGGACAACAGGTGTACCACATGGCAGCTGTGCCCTGACTGGGGTGTCTCCAAGGAGACAGGTCTCCAGTGTCAGTCCTCTAGAGAAGCGGGACTTACCAGCACCTTGGGACCCTCCCGCTCCTCTGCTACAGGCACTTCTGGGAGTAGGCACAAGTCAGGGTATCCTACCAAACTTGCTCCTGTGGAAACATGCTCTTCAGTAACTCCTTGGGTGAGGAAGTGGGGCGGGGGAGTTTCAGACTAGCTCAAAACTTCTGCCCTCCATTGCTTAAGCGACAAAAGTAGGTACCAAAAGGGGCAAGCCCGGTGGCACAAGTGGTTAAGTGCACGCGCTCTGCTGCGGCGGCCCGAGGTTCGCCGGTTCGGATCCCAGGCGCACACCACTTGGCAAGCCATGGTGTGGCAGCGTCCCATATAAAGTAGAGGAAGATGAGCACAGATGTTAGCTCAGGGCCAATCTTCGTCAGCAAAAAAGAGGAGGCTTGGCAATGGATGTTAGCTCAGGGGCTAATCTTCCTCACACACACACAAAAAACAAAGAAACTGAGTCTTAAAAGTACACACCCAAAACTCCTTCTATCATCTGCATCCATAAGTTAGCTTTCAAGTACCCCACAGGCCTTCAAAAAGCTCAGACATGCCAACTACTCAGATCAATTTTTGTTACTGATCCTAATACTGTTTGTACTTTATGGCATGTTTTACTGTACTCAGGTCTGAGACATTTCAAGCAAAGGACTCAATGGAAAACTTCAATCAATGTATTTCATTATTCTAGGTACTTTCACAGAAATTCTCCCAACTGAGTAGGTCTGAAGAGAATGCTCCATGGGCTATCTCAGCTAGTTAAAAATATCTTTCTCTTATGCTTACCCTTGAATTCTCTCAGACCTGGATGACTATCTAGCCAGCTCTATAACTGTATGCCAGCTCTATAACTGTATTCTCCTAAATATCAGTCTAAGCTAAAGGGGAACCCAAAAAAGTTGCACTATCCAGGAGGCAGATTAGATCCCAGTGAGATCAGATGCAGACTCTAGTCCTGAAAAGCAGCCATGGAAAGCATGCTCCAAATAAATAAACTACAGTATAATAAGTAAAAGTGGGTAAAGTCACCTTAGAGAGTTCTAGGGAACATCCGGTATAAGACACAAAGAAGAATATGCCTCAGAAATTACTTCAATAAATAAGTGACATGACATAGCTTTCATGGTGTTCCACACCAGACAAGGCATTCCTGTCCTCTCACTCTCCCACCCAGGTCTGCGAACTTGGGTTTCCAAGCCAGGAGTCTCCTCTTTAGCAGACAGGAAAACATCAGGATCTCACTCTTACAAAAGAGCCCTGAGGCAGTTCTCCCTAAGGGCTGACTTAGGCTTGTAAAGGATCAGGAGGGATATAATAAACAATGTCAAGGCCAGGCTGGCAGAGCCACAGCTGCACCAGGAGCGGGGACTGAGTGAGCCCATGAGACAAGCTGGGGTGCTGGTGAGCTGAGGTCCTGGAGAGAAACCTCAACTACTAGTTACTGGGCAGCCAGAGAAGCTGCTGCTGGCTCAGCCCAGGGACTGAACAGGCACACATACCTGGTGGCTGCTTGGCTGCTGAGGGCAAGACTGCCACAGTGTTGCCCTCTGTTAGAGGGGCAGTCTGGCAGAAGAGAACGGGCATGTGCTTAGAGGCAGGCAGCTCTGAGTTGAAATTCAGACTCTGCCACGTGGTAGCTATGCGGCCCAGGGCAAATTATTTAACCTGTCTAAGCCTCAGTTTCTTCAACTATAACACGGAGGTATCAATACCTACCTTGCAGGGTTACTATGAGGATTAAATGAAATAACTTATGTGATATGTGTTAGCAAGCATTCACTAAACGGCAGGGTAATTTCTTGCCCCCTAGTCAAATCTATTTGCTACTCCTCAGCTACAGTGATTTTTCCAAAGCAGAAATCCAACTTCCCAGTTCCCTATTTAAAACATTTCAATGGCTCCTCTTTGCTCCCAAGAAAAAGAGCAAACCTTTGATGATCTAAGGAGCCTTGCATGTCCTGGTCCTTGTCAACCTCTCTTCCTTGCTCTCCTGTGCTCCAGCCACATGGACCTTCTTTATGCCCTCAGAAAACGTCATCTCTCTCATCTCAAAACCTTCACACAGGTTGAAAGCCCCTTCTTCCCAGGTCTCATCTGCCTGGTTAACAACTTCTCATAATTTCTTTGGGAAAAACCTTTCTCAACCTCCATACTAGGTCAGGCTTCCTGCCAATGCTCCCTTTACCTCTCTTTCACGGTACTCGGTACTCAGTCTGCTTTGTAAATATACTTGCAATGATTTACACGATGTCTTAGAGAGATCAAGAGGTAAGGAACTGTGTCCTTTTTTGATTACCACTGAATCCCCAGGACACAAGCACAATGCCTTGCCCATTTTAGAAGCTTAAACCTTTTACTGAATAAATGAATGAAAGTTCAGAGGAGGGTTGGGAAGCCCTAGCTATTAATCTGGTTAGTACTTATCTGCAACACTTAACCACATTCTTCCCAGAATGCTTACTAATATTTAATTTTCCTTTTCATTGCTGGATTTTTAGCTTTGTTGTTTACAACTTCGAATGTTCCACTGCCTCCATACGATAGAGTCAGAGGAGATGTTCCATGCTGGGGAAATAGCATGGAATGGAAAGGAGCGTTAAGTGGTCTGAAAAGAAACAGAGAGAAGGGTGAACTCTATCTTGAAGGCAGCTGTGGCCTGAGATAAGAATAGGTTTCCTGCCCTAATCTTTCCTTCTCAGGGCCATTTAAGTCGACCTCTCTTTGTTGGGAGGTAAGGATTCCACAGGCCAACACTTACTTGTTCCCATGAAGAAATCATATGACGTTCAGCAGGCGCCTTTTCTATGATGGTCACCTCCGTCACACCTGGGGATGATTCTGAAAGAGGAAAAAGAGAGTCTATACAGTTGCAATTGGCCCACTCTCACACATTTCCACAGTAGAGGCTGACTTTTGATGACTGCTCTAGGAATATCAGATTCCTCTGAGAAGCATTTATTATCCCTGTGATAAAAGCAGGGAAGAACTGGTTGGTCCCTCCAAGGCACTCGGTGCCATAATTTAGGACCATGTAGTCTACCTGGTAAAAATGATATCACCAGAATGTCCCCAACAGTTAATCACTGCTTAGTCATTCAGCTCGTTGAACAAAAATCAGAGATTCTACATTCCTAGTGACACACTAAACTTCTCAGTGAGCTAAATCTATACTCTTACGAACAGGGTGAAAAAGAGTAAGGAATAGTTAGGCTAACATTATGACAAATGGATTCCATTTTTTATAAGGTCATTGCAGATGTGCTTAGTTAAGATGAAGTCATACTGGAGTAGGGAGGACCCTTAATCCAATATGGCTGGTGTCCTCACAAAAAGAACACTATGTGAAGAGACTTGCATAGAGGGAAGATGGAGGGTTGGAGTGATGCATCTATAAGACAAGGAACACCAAAAATTGCCGGCAAACCTCAAGAAGCTAGGAAGAGGAGAGGCAGAATCCTTCCCATCCAGGTTTCAGAACAAGCATAGCTCTGTTGACACCTTGGTTTCAGACTTTTGGCCTCCAGAACTGTGTGAGAATAAACTTCTGTTGTTCTAAGCCAACCAGTTTGTGGTACTTTTTATGGCAGCCCTAGCAAACTAATATAAAGCCTATCCACTTTTTCTCTCTGTGATATCATGTAGATTACTCTGTTTTAGGCCATGGTCACTGCAAGTCTAGATGCAATCAAGGCCAGAAACTCTCTCCCTGCTCTGATCCATCCTCAGCACACCACCAGAGGATCTTCTCCATACCTAGGCTTGTTCCCTATCAGATCTTATTCAGTTCTCCCTTTGGTCTGGAAGATAAGACCCTCATTATACCTGTTTGATTTCATCTTCTTCCACCCTATAGTCCAAACCTTCTGTTCCAGTTGTGTCCATTTCCTCATTGTCTCCATCCCTCTGTACCCCCGAAAACCAAATCTGTACTCATCTTTAAATATGCTGTATCCCTTTCTCTATATACATACCCAAATGTGTCCATGTTTCTCTCAATCTACCCAAGTCCTACCCATACTTTAAGGCCATACTAAAGTTGCACCTCCTCCATGAAACCATTTCAGATGACTCTAGCTCAGTGATCTCTGCTTTTCCCAATATCCCATCCCACCACATACAGGGTCGGAGCCACATATATTTATACTTTATTATATTCTATTTTGAACTATATCTGATTATTTACTATGTCCTAAGCATCTGTAAACAGGGAATGTATTGAAATGAATTTTTTAAATCTCTAGGAATAGGGCAGAGACTTCTAATCTAGTTTAATGTGGTTCACAGATTCTAGAATTATACCAGTACCCCTTCTATGCATCATAAAGTTTCCTCCAAGTTGTCAGAAAGCTCAAATCTTGGGATGCAGCAACAGCCTAATACAGGAGTCAAGAATTCTGGACTCCACCTATTCTAGTCTTGCTTTACGCATTCACTAGTTATGTGCCCTTAGATGAGTCTTCACTTCCCTTTGCATTCAGTAAGACAAGAACTATAACACTTCCCTTGATAGGGAAAGCAGAGGAAACAGAAATGAAGGCGCTTTGGAGAAGCAAAAAGTACCACATACACAATTTTTCTTCTGCCTTCTGTTCAATGTTTTTTCTAAGATATTGGAAAGCACAGCACTGTGGTGGAAAAACACTATGTGCTTCAAGCCATTAGACCTGGCGTGAGTCCTTGCTATGCCCCTGACTGGTTAGGGTGGCAGACACTGTCTATCCCTTCACGGGTGGTCCCAATTTGGCATTTTCCACCAAAGCTAAGATAGTGAATAATAAATGTTATTATTCATTTTTACAACAAGGACATTGAGGCTGAGAGTTAAGCCACAAAGCCAACTCTCTGATTCCAAGTATGAGTCTAGTTGAGAAAAGAAGAGTTTATGTGCATAAGCCATTGCATGCCCCTTGGCATAGCCCTTCAGAGCAATCATCCTATGCAAATGCAGAGTCTAGCTTTAATGAGTCTTAGCAACCTACCACTCCACCTGTAGTAGGAAAGAAGAAAACAATTCTTTGCCAACAACCCAGCTGGTCGCATAGTGATGTCATCTGACTACACCCACTGGATGGTCTAGTGTGTAGGGCTGTAAGAGGACATATATGTAATGCAAGTGCCTGACATTAAGCTTTTGATTGCTGAGGCATCCATTCTAAACACATCCATCTCAAATAAACAAATTTCCACCTGTATGACAGCTACTAGCTAAACTAGACAAGCAACCAGGACACCCTGACCCATGAAGTTCCCCTTTTAGAAAGCCTTGAGTAACTTGGATAACTGAATGCTTGAGTGACCCATTTTCCCTTCCTGCACCCTAATTCTCGCTCTTATGTTTTAAATTCACCAACCAAGAGTGAACCTGCAAAACTCTAGCCACTCCACCCTCGGGCCCTAATAAAGGCTAAGACCTAGGTCTGCTCATGCTCGTGCTTTCTCTCCTGGCGACCTGGCTGTGTGGCCCTTGGGCAAGCTGTGTACCCACCAAGACCTGTGCGCAATAAATTTCTTTTTTCAAAGTTCCCTGATGGTTGTTGCTGAGGTGTGTCTTGCAATCACAATAAGAACCACAATGGCTGGTCCAGCCACAACATTGGCTCCAGTCAGGGAAATGTCTGTGGGGGCTTGCCACAAGTAGTACAGGCCCAGATGAGTGCCTCAGGCATTCCTAGCTGATAGCATCACTATGGACAGGTCGAGACAGACAGAAAACACACCATTATTCAGTTTATATCAGGCCAATGTGGAAGGGTTACAGGCTCAGACAGAACTGCTGTGATGCTACCACAGATGAGGGCATATTATACTTAAGCTTTGAACACGTGTAAGATAGGTCAACTGGTCAACATGCTGACTTTAAAAACTTTCATATAATAAGTTGTTTAGGAAGTACCCACCGTAGAGACTCCACTATCCAACACTTCAGCACTGGTAGGGAAGAGAGGGACACACACTAAATTCCATTTGTATAATGCTCTATTTCAGGGAATTGATATTAATTGTCTCAATTAATCTTTCAACAATCTTGTAAAACAAGTAACATTACTCTCATTTTAAAGATTTTTTATTTATTTATTTTTCCCCCAAAGCCCCAGCAGATAGTTGTCTGTTATAGCTGCACATCCTTCTAGTTGCCGTATGTGGGACGCGGCCCCAGCATGGCCAGAGGAGCGGTGTGTCAGTGCGCACCTGGGATCCGAACCCGGGCCGCCGGCGGCACAGTGCGCGCACTTAACCGCCAAGCCACGGGGCCGGCCCACATTACTCTCATTTTAAAGGAAACTGAAGTTCAGAGATATTAAATAATTTCACAGGACTAAATCTCTGACCATAGGTGTGGACACAAGCCTAATGCTTTTTATACCCTGTTGTCTTAGTAGCTAATTCTGACGTAGTGGAGTAGTTTTCCCCACATCACCAAGCAATTCTCGGATATCAGCTGGGTGTCCTACAATTTAATGCAATCTTAACACTATCTACCAAGAGATAGCATCAGATTCTACAGGTTAACGGCTCAGTCCCACAAGACTGCCCTGCACTTCAGATTACCCATGCTTCCAAGTGACAGGCTATACATCAGGGGTTCCCATCACCCCCTCTTTGGGTTCAATTAGCTTATTAGAGTCACTCACAGTATTAAGAAAACCCATTTACTCATTAGATTACCAGTTTATTACAAAGGATATTATAATTCAACAGCCAGATGAAAAGATGTATAGGGCAAAGGCCTGAACAAAGGAGCTTCTGCCCTTGTGAAGTTTGGGGCCTGGCATGAGAAAGTGTTCTGGTTCACCAACCTGGAAGCTCTCTGTACCTTCTTTTGGGTTTTTATGGAGGCTTCATTACATAGGCATGATTGATTAAATCATTGGCCATTGGCAATTGACTCAACCTCCAGCCTCTCTCCCTGGAAATCAGTGGGTCAGAGTGAAGGTTCCAACTCTCTAATCAAGATTGGTTCCCCTGGCAACTAGCCCCCATCCTTAGGTTATCTAGGGGCTTTCCAAAAGGTACTCATTAACATAAAAGACACCTTTTGGGCTCATAGGAGCTCTGTGCTGCAACCAAGGATGAAAACCAAATTTATATTCACTATTATAAAGCACCATATCATAGGTAAGCAAAAGCATTATGAGGTTGTTTAAAAAGCAACAGAAATAATAAGTTGTTTTTGGCCTATTAAGATGCCACATGGGAAGAGTATCTGACTAGGCATAGCCATCCCCACTCTCCTGCTTTTGTGTCCAATGACAAGCATTTATGAGCTGCCTGGCTAGAGTGAACTGTATGGCAGAGTATGAAATGAAATAATGAAGGAAGATATGAAATTCAGGTCTTCAGACTCGGCACAGTCCTCTCTAGGTAACTGTGTGACATGCCACAGATGAAAACTCTCTGTGGCAGCTTACTCCAAATAAGGTGCTATCAATTCCTTCCCTCCCTGCATCCCCATTACCAGATCCCCATTGAGAGGTAAAGTCCATTTCTCCACCTCCTTGAATTTGGGGATGGCCTGTGCTTTGACCAATAAAAATGTGGCGATGCTGCGCCAGTTTTGGACTTAGAGAGGACTAGCAGTTTCCCTTTTCCTCTCCTTGTGCCCTGAGCTATCACATACTACATCCAAGCTACGCTTCTGAAGAGAAACGGCATGTTGAGGAGCACTGAGGGGCCAGACACATGAGTGCAAAAGTCATCTTGGACGTCCAGCCTAGTTGAGCTACCAGATAATTCTAGTCTCAGCTATAACCATTTGAAAGACCTAAAATGAGGACTGTCCCAGCTGAGCCCCAACAACCCCCAGAACCAGGAGAGAGAGTAAACTGCTGTTTCAAGCC